GAATTTGATGTGATAATGTTAGTAGAGACATGGTTGGAAAAGGACAAGTGGACTAATGTAGAAAGTGAGTTGCCAAAAAGCTATGAGTGGAAGTGTATAGCAGCGACTAGAGAGCATAAAAAAGGTAGAGCGAAAGGAGGAGTAATATTAGGAATAAGCAAAAAACTGGAGAGTAGAAATCATGAAGTATGGAGCGATAATATAGTAATGCAGGAGATTAAACACGGAAATAAGAACTGGAAGATCATAGGAGTATATAGTCAAAATGTAGCAGAGACGATGGGAATTATAAAGGAAAAAGTAAAAACGAAGGAAAGTGGATGCGTACTTATACTAGGAGACTGGAATGCAAGAACTGGGAGAGAAGGAGGTTGGATTAATGAAAGTGATAGTGACGACAAGCACGTAAGGTTAAGAAAGTCGAAAGACGAAAAGATCAATGAGGAAGGTAGAAGACTAATAAAAGAAATAACAGAAAAAGGATGGTGTATAGTAAATGGGCAAAAAGGAGAAGAAGGAGAATTCACATACGTTGGTAGCAGAGGAGAGTCCGTAATAGATTACGCAATAGGATGTCAAGAAGCGTTAGATCAGATTAAGAAAATGAAGATAGGACAAAGAACGGAATCAGATCATATGCCGCTAGAAGTATACTTAGAAAATGAAGTAGAGGTAGGAATTGTAGAGAAAGAAGAGAGAACAAAGGCAAGGAGGGATTGGACTCAAGAATTGATTGATCAGTATGGAGAAAGGTGTAAAGACCGGGAGCGAAAGGGAAAAGAGATTGAAGAAAGATGGAGTGAATTGAAAGATAAAATAGATAGGGCAGTACCTAAGGTGAAAAAACAGTGTAGAGTGTGGAAGATGGGGGATAAAAAATGGCACGATAAAGAATGGAAGGAGAAGAAGAAGGATTTAAGAAGAATAATGAAAAGGTGGAGGAAAAAGAAAATAGAAAGAAGTTATTACATAGATAAAAAACGAGAGTATAGGAACTGGTGTGAGGCAAAAAGGAAAAGGTTTGAAAGATTAGAAGAAGAAGAGATACAAAAATGCAACATCGGAAGGCGAAGTGTGGAAATATATAAACAAGTACAGGAAAAAAAGAAGAAGAGAAACATCTAAAAAGTTCACAGTAGAAGAGTGCAGAAGGTACTTTATGGAAAAGTCAGATGGGAAGAATGAAGAAGGAATTGTGAGGGAAGAGACAAGAAAGGATGAGGCAAGAACAAATGCAGTGGATCAGGAAGAAATGAGCAAGGAAGAGTTCGAGAGGCAGATAGCCAGATTAAAAGTAGGAAAAGCACCAGGAGAAGACAAGTTGGAAAATGAAGTGTGGAAGTACATGCCGGGAGAAGTGGATGCAGCTCTGTGGGAATTGCTGAAAAAAGTATGGAAAAAAGGAGAATTACCGGATCAGTGGAGGCAAGGTACGATTTGTTTGATTCACAAAAAAGGTGATAAAGATAAGTTAGAAAATTATAGAGGAGTGACATTGACATGTACAGCATATAAGATTTATGCGAGTATGTTAAACGAGATGTTAAAAAAGGAAATCGAAGGTAAATTATCAGAAAGCCAGTTTGGTTTTAGAGAAAAGAGAGGAGTAATAGAAGCTATATATACATTGAAACACATTGTTGAGGAAAAATTAAGCAAAGAAAGAGGAAAATTATTTACATGTTTTATTGATTTAAAGGAAGCATTTGATCGAGTGGATAGGAAAGTTTTAAAGGAAAGATTAATAGAAATGGAAGTGAGTGAAAAGCTAAGAAATAGGATTATGGATATTTATAAAGAAACGAGAAATGTAGTTAAAGTTGGAGAAGAGGAATCCAAGGAATTTTGGACAGAAAAAGGTGTGAGGCAAGG